TCTAGGGGCGCTGTGGGTCAGAATGGACTCCACGGCAGTGGGTGTGGTTTGGGCTTTGCGCCTGTAAAGATTGACAGCCTTGGAGACCCTGTGGTGCAGTTCCACTCTGTCCTCTAGGGGCGCTGTGGGTCAGAATCGACTCCTATATTTATCTACCCATCCTGTTGGTTCTGTCTCTCTGGAGATCTCTAACTGAGACAGACAGGGTAGTTAGGTGAAGCCTCAAGGGGAAGGATGACCTTTGAACCAAGACCAGTCCAGGGTGGGGGATAAGCTGTGTGGATCTGCAGGAAGGGTGTTCCAGGCAGAGGGAACAGCAGATGCCAACGCCCTGAGGCAGGCCCGTGCTGGGCACAGTGGAGGAAGGGCTGGAGTGAAGGAGGCATCAGGAGGGGGTGAGAAGGGCCCGGACCCGGATTTGGGGTGAGACAAAGCCAGCAAGGTTTCTGAGCCGGGAAGTGATGAGATCGTCCCTTTATTCATTCAACAAACATTTCCTGACACCTCCCAGGGCCAGGCCTGCACAAGCAGCGGAGAAACAGCTGAGTCAGCCCCGGTCACTCAATGGGCTCCGCATCCAGACGGGGAGACAGGCAGGGACACAGTCCAGCCTAAGCCCAGTGTGGAAGACTCCACAGGGTGGTGAGTTAGGACACAGGGGAGCCCCAAGGTGGGGTGCCCAGCTCCGTGCGGGGCATCATGGGATATTTCCCGGAGAATGTAGAGTTGAAACCAAGACCCAGGAGATGAAGATGTGTTATCCTCACCAAGGACTGGGAGAGGGGTGGCTGTACCAGGCAGAGGACAGCAGGTCCAAAGGGCCTGTGGTCACGGAGCTCAGTGTACCTTTGAGAATGGGTAAGTGCTCAGTTACCAACTGGAAGGTCGGTGGTTCAAACCCTCCCAGACACACCTGAGAAGAAAGTCCTGGTGACATGCTTCGGAAATGTCACAGCCTTGGAAACCCTACGGAGCAGGCTCCACTCTGACTCGGAACCGGCTGGACGGCGACTGGTTCGTGGGTTTGTGGGGGACGTGTTCACTGGGGCTTCCTGTCTCGGCAGCGCCCCTGCACGTTCATTACGGCTCCCCCTCCTCGGCCAAAGGATGTCCCGTGTTCCCCGTGGCCTTCTGCCTAGGCGCCAGCCGTCTCTGTGTTCGTCCGGTCTCTCAGGACACACGTCTCTCGTATTTCCAGTCTTTGAGTCCCTGTAGGAGCTCCTTGTTGTTGTTATGTGCTGTTGAGTTGGACCTGACTCAAAGCGACC